TAAGCCTTCTGAATTGAACAGTCTTTTCATGGGTGGAATAAAAGGGATCCATAACAGACTTCTAGCCTATAGTAGGATCTGTGTATCATGATTTTAATAATGGAATTAATATTCTTATTTTAATCAGATATGAAGTGGATATATGTACAGAGCTTCCCTACCCTACAAGGGAACAAATATTACAAAGAATCAGTGGAACTGATGGTGTACTTTGGTGTTCCAAAGTAAAAGTGGATAGTGAAATGTTGGATAAAGCAGGTAAACAAGTACTGTAACAGAAACTATTCCAATTTTGGCATTTGAATGGCATGTACAGTAGTACCCAAGCTCTACAGCAGGTAACAGGTATAATTTAGTTTAACTGGCTTTACTGTAACAGTGTTCATTTGTCCACTATATACCTCATAACTTGGTGACAAAGATTTTGGATGCTAGAGTACAGTCATGGTGTTAATATCATAGTTTTCCCTGTGATACATATATCAAGTTCTTGCAGGACAGCATACCAGCACATTTTTATAAAATGCAGCAATAATATAAATAAAAATTATAATACTGATCAAGAGAGACATTTCACAAGGAAATCAGAATTGTCCTTTTAAGTATTTTATGGGTTTTGTTGAAAGACTTGAATTACATCCCTCTACCCCCAAAAAAATAATTATTGTAATCTGTTAATTTCATGACAGACCTCACTACCAATGACCATTATAATTATTATGACCCTCAGACTTGGCCTTCACTGTAAAAATGGAAAATTGCTATCAAATTTAAAATTATATGGGATAATTATGAACTAAACCAATGACTTGTGTGACTGACTCAACATTTCCAGGGCCAACCCTGAAGGTGTTAGCAACAATGTCTGCTGGATATGACCACATTGACGTCGAGGAACTCAAAGCAAGAGGGATCAAATTTGGGAACACTCCTTATGTCTTGAGCGCTGCTGTGGCTGAGGTAGCAGTACTTCTTTGTTTGGCCACAGCCCGCAGGTTACATGAAGGCCGACTCAAGATAGAAACGTATGTGTTAATTCACCATTCTATTCTGAATGAACAAGAAAAAACATTACTTATTTTGAAACCATGAAAATACAGTTGTATTTAAACACTGAGAGCAACAGCAAATGATTCCATATACTCTGGTAAAAGTTTACTGATGTTTCAGAGGTCCTTGCTGCATCCATCATCAGATTGCCCTGATAATGTAGGCAGCGATCATTAAAACCAGGTGTTTATTTTGGCAATATGCAAAGATATATCAGCACATTTTTCATAAACAGGAAAGTTTAAAAACACCTCACAACACTTTCATATAGAAAAAACACTGGTTATACATATTTTTAAATCCAAATATTCCCATATTTATTATAATAATAATAATAATTTCTGTTTTCTTTGTAGTAATAATTGGGAGTCATATCGTCCTCAGTGGCTGATGGGTCAGGATATTCAGGGATCTACAGTTGGCATTGTTGGCTTTGGTGGAATTGGACAAGCTATTGCCAAACGTCTCATACCTTTTGAAGTGAAGCAAATTATTTATTCTGGTCATTCACCTAAACCACAAGGTAAGCAAAAGGATGTAGTGAGAATACAATTATATCAGATATTAACAAAAAAGTGTAATGTCACATACTACTTAAAAATTATTTTTAAACAATATTATTTTCTATTAAAAATGTGTAGCGTATATATTTTTGTTTAAAGTTGGTGATTTATTTTCCTCACTCATGAAGCATATCTGGTTTTGAAGAAGAAAAACCAGGTTTTAGAACAGAATAATCCTACTGATCTGTGATTTATAACTTTTGTGGTAACTAAATTCAGTAAAGTCTTCACGGACAGTCAGCCATGTCACGTGGTTGTAAAAACCAACATTTTGAGAGCCATCCTATTGATTCTGTGCACAAGTAATATATTGTCAATAAATGTAACTCAATTAAAATTAAAGTATATAACTTTCTTACAGTCAAAATTTTATTCCATACATATTGAAGTGGTCCAGTAGGCTACTAAATCCTTTAATTTTTCTTTCCAGCCAAAGAATTTGGAGCAGTATTTGTTTCATTTGATGAGCTATTGAGGCATAGTGACTTTGTGATAATAGTGTGTCCACTGAATGAAGAAACTAAAGGAATGTTCAATGAAGAAGCATTTAATAAAATGAAACCCAATGCTATTTTAGTCAATGTTGCTCGTGGAGGTAAGTTAATTTGTTCCAAAATGCAGAAGAGAACGCCTTAAATCCTTCGATTATCTGATATTTTGACCTCTACTGTTGCGGTATGTTACCATATTTAAATGGGCAAAGAGTTAAGTTTGCCTAAAAAAAGAAGTAAGGAATCAGGATTGTGGTGTAGCTCTTTTGCCTGCCATGAGAACCTTGTAAGATTGTATATATATTTGGCCACGAGTTCCCATCGTAATGCAAAGTTTTGTGTCTCAGGAATTGTTGACCAGCCAGCTTTGTATGAAGCCCTCAAGCAAGGAAAAATCTTTGGAGCAGGACTTGATGTGATGATTCCTGAACCACTACCAACAGACAGTCCACTGCTCAGTCTGCCTAACTGCGGTGAGTACAACCTTATTCAGTGTGAACAGAAAATAAACTAGCAAATTATAATAAAGATACTTCATTTAACATTTGACTGCCAAGTGGGACAATGATTTTCCATCATATTTAATTTATTTATAGCTTATATAAAGAAGCTTTTTCAGTATCTTATACTAATAGCGTTGAATGAGATAATGACAGTTAATAATGAACTCGAAAGGATGTGGAAGGAATTGGTCATATCGTCATTGAAGGTACTATCCTGGCATTTTCCTGGAGGGACTAAGGAAAACTACAAAAAACCTGTCAAGATAGTTGGTCCCTGGACTGAGATTTGAACCCAGAACCTCCTGAATACGAAGCAGGAGTGCTAGCCACTCACTCACGACATTCAGTGTTTTCCCAAGATTTTTTAATGTTTTTTCTTAAATATGCTTGAAAATGATCACCCAGTGGTCCACCAACAATGCAATAAACATTCTGTGCAGTGCTGAGGCTGTAATATTACATTACATGCTTTATTTTCAGTATTACTCCCACATGTTGGAAGTGCAACTGTGAAAACACGGACAGCCATGGCAGTTTTGGCAGCAGAAAACATCATCGCAGCCCTTGAAGGCAAACCAATGCCAGCTCCTGTGTGATGCATTAAAATGTGTTATGCTAGGTGTTAAGTGATTATGTATTTGAGAAGAATATCAGAGGAACCATAATGTTGAAGAGTCAAAGAATGATACTGTAATTATGTTGTAACACATGAACATTCAGAAGTGTTATTACAGTTGAAATAATTAAAAAAATAATCTATTACATACAAGTCTTTCACTTCAAACAGAGATTTCCACAAATTATGTCAAAGAAATAACATATTAAGTAATAAATTGAGGTATGGTGGGATTCATTTAATGACAACACAAGATACAAAATATTTGCTTACCAAGTATACTTCGTCCTTAAAAAATACTAACACACCTTGATTAATGTTGGTCCCATGTTCATGTGATGTCAGTGTCTTCATGTCATCATCATATGCTTGTCCTTTTTGTTGACCAATTTCACCCTAGGTCAGAAAGGAACTATAGAAAATATACAGTATATGGCAAATCAGTCTATAACAATGAAAATCTATACCTCAAGATAAATGTATATTTTTTTACAGCAAAACTTGCTTAGAGATGACAAAGAACCTTATTATTTATTCATTTTAGACAATATAGGTACTTATGTATAGATTAGAATGATGTATATTGTTAGTAGACATTTTCACTTTCCTTTCTTCAGCTTTCTTTTTTTGTTCTCCTTTATTGTAGACCATTACAACATTCTTCACGTATTTTATCAACAGTCTCTGTTCATCACACATAATTATTCACTCTTTCAGGATAAGATTTAATCCAGGTTGTGTATGTGGCAGGTTGTACTACACAATTACTTACCCAGTTTCTGCGACTGTCTAGTTCTTAGCAGGTATCTTGAGAATAAATCCATGTGATAAAAAGGAAAAGGTCAAAGGTGAAGAAAGTACTACAGAAATTAATATACAGAGACATCTGAAGACTTACTACAGACATCAATAACAATTTAATTCTGAAGGTTTGCAACAATGGTGTGTGTTGTTGAAGCAAACTACTTTCTGGACATTATCCAGTCCCAGATTTAATAAAACACAGCGTTTTGGATACTGGAATTTATCTCCATCTTCAGGTAAAACCTACTCTGCTGGGCCCATCGACAGAGCTAGTTCCTATCTCCAGACCACAGAAAGCACACTCTACTAACAGTGACCATTTCCGATTTGAAATTCTCTATAAAAAGTTAGTTTTTACAAACAAAATATATTTCAAAGTTCAAATGACTATATATAATAAACAGAAGAAATTTTAAGAGTATATTTTCTTTAGAAACAAATCTAACACCTTCAAATCTGTTATATGAAGACAAACATCTTTGTACATTTCTAGTTATATCCAGAAGATAGTTCAGTCAGCATGGCAAGATCAATCACTGTTTATGTTATGGTTCATGATTCTGCAACAACCATTTTAAGGTCACTAAGGAGAGGTTCAATGTGCTGCTCCAGTAACAAGATTTGACCAGTGTTGCAAGAAACACTGCCAATGAAACTGATTACTAGAGGTAATTTGTTGATCTGAACAACCTGCAGAAAGAAAAATGTGAATTAACAATTATGCAATACAATAGAGGGCACAAGTAGAATTTGAGGTTCTTACAGCACAGAGTACGATAATGGCTGTCTTCTGGGTTGAAGCACTGTGAAGTCTGATAGAAGTTCAGAGGTCCACTGATGGAGGCAGCAAGGGTCTCTGAAAAACTGGTGAACTACTAGACTACATGGTGCTAAAACCCAGAAGACAGCCATCTTCATAATGGGGTAAATACATGTTTTGTATATTTAATTTGTGACACTTAGGGAAGTGGATTACAAGATGAGGCAAGCATTCCTGAACATACATAATTATTAAATGTAAAAGAGCCACAAAACCCCCATAAATAGTGTTAGAAGAATTTTACATTCTTTGTGAAGTCTCCTTAATAACTGATTTCACATTATAAATTGCTGAGATTGAATTAAAAAATAAACTTGTAATATATGATGCACATCAAACACCAAGACTGCACACTTAGAAACTACAGTAGAGTGTAGACCTACCTGAAATGTTGAATACATGCAGATCAAGGTCCTGTTCTTTCCTAATCCCAACTTGCCACCCTGATCTGTTGCCATCCCAAATGTTGTGAGGAAACTTGGTCTCATTGCAAGCTCTGGAGCCTTATCATTAGTAACTGAAATACATCCATCAATCTAAGAAAATTATACTTCACTAACCAAAGGAAATAATCATTTTTGCTAATTCATTTTAAGTGATTCCAAAACATGTATACTCACAGTATTTTGGACATAGTTGAGATGACTCAAAAATTAAGCCACTTGGGGCACTGCCCCACTTACAATATAAATCTAAATATTATCATAGTTTAGGTATGTACAGTATATACACTCACACATACAGATGAATATAATATATAGTTTACATGATAAGTTATTCACAGAACATGTTTCTAATTCAATATGTACACTGCAAAAAACACAACAACAACTAACCACTTTCAGCTGCAGTCTTCTCTGAGATGATATTAAATACAAATAAAATAAAAACAAGACACCACCACAACTATTTCTCCTGACTTGGTTATCACCAATTTAATAATTCTTATTACTGACTGATCCATCAGCCTATGGCTGTCATCAAAATATAGGATCTCTTGAAATTCTTCTGCAAAATTGCTGGTTCTTCAAATACATCAAACACACATTTTATTAATATGTAGTATTAAGAAAACAAAAGTGTATAAGAAGCATAAGAAATTATAAGCACAAGTTAACTTGTACGTTCTGTGTAAAAAAGTTGAAATTTATCATGTGCTGTGAAAATTCTCCTATAAAACACACCACTGAACATTTTAACAAAGAATTAGGTAGCCATAAAATGGTTTAAAAAGAGTAGATTGTTAAGATACACGTGTGTTGAAGTTTTTGGCTACAGCGCAGTGACCACCCTGATATCAATATTCATAAATGATTATGTCCATCTGCTTTATCCTCATCTTTTACTTTATTCCTGACAAATTTCATAAGAAAATTTTAATTATGGAGCAAGCAATTCTGTACTCTAACTTTTACAGTAATAATTTCTTTACATTTCTGGAGAGTTATACTACCATATCTTAAAATTTGTTATTGGAAAGCCTTACACTTGCCTTGCTCTTAAGCTAAGTTACCAATGATTGACATCTCTATATTCAAAAGATGTGCCAAGACAAAACTTTGCACTCAATAAAGAACTCAAGCACCACCCTAGGCCACTATATTTGTTCTTATTATAGATCAGTCTTACAATATAGTTACTGACCACTGTAACCTACTTAATACACCACATTATAAAGTTGTTAAAACATGTTGATGCATAGGTGTGTTGCTTCTCTGCAAGTTACACGGTAAAGATATACAATGCACACAATTGTTAATATTCTATCTACCTTTCAAAACTGGAACGCCGTCTCTGTCCGTTATTAAGATACAGTGAAGGCCATCTACCCTAAAAGTAATAAGAAACAACAGCGTCATTCTTCACAATTTCACCAAGGTGCACCAATCCAAAAACATTACTGCAAGCGCTTCTGCGTTAACCCAAGTATATAACAGCATTTATCGGAAGTATTTCTGGCATTATATCCAGCACATTTGAAATGGGTGGGCTAACAATATTCGTAAAACTACAAAGTTTCTTTCAAAATAGGTTAGAATAGAAAATGCCTGTGCTAATACAAGCCTTGGGCATAAAATACTCAACAGTATACTTTAAATGCTCCTTACCTACATAATAACTGATTCAAGTATTTCTTCATATCCTAAAAAAGGACGGTGCCGTAAATTAGTAATTATTCAAAACAAAATTCAACATTTCATTTCGTCAACAGAATCGAAAGTTCTTTCACAAACCTCAGTCATAATTGCTTTTTTCCAACTTCCTTTTTTTACAATAACACCAACAAACCTCTACGATATATAATTTAAGTCATGCAGAAATCTAATTTCAATAACCCAAACAGGTTGTCACATAACAATTTAACAGCACCGAATCAGATATCCGCAACTAACGAAAGCAGTTGGCAGTAATTTATTTTACAGGCTCTGAAACATAGATACTGCGCACAATGCGCCTGATTAGCTACAAACCAGTACCAACTGCCAATAAAAAAAGATTAAAACACCTTACCAACACATTAACCTGAAATGTAAAGGCCGCCATTCACGATCGCTCCATTCGTCCAAATGGCGCGGTGTCGCTCCAAAATTATACCGTGAATGCGGAAACTGAAGTCCATTGGCGTGGCGTGGTGGGCTCGTTTGGATATTCTGTGATTGGCGGAAACGTGGTCCATTCTCATGCCAGTCCTGCCACGAGCCTTCGTCCAGTCAAGTTGAAACTTGCATAATGTCGGGGCGTGATTTTGTTATTGATGTGATTGATAAATATAGAGAGTTGCCATGTTTGTGGCAGGTAAGTAGTGATGACTATCGCGATAAAGCTAAACGAAGCTCTGCAATGGACCAATTGTTGGTTTTATTTAAAACGAAAGATCCTGCCGCCAACAAAGAAACCGTGCAAAAAAAAATAAATTCACTTAGAAGTTGCTTCAGAAAGGAGCATAATAAGGTAAGGCTAAAGGAATACTATAATATTAATATTATTTCCACAAAGTATGGTAATTTTGAACAATAAAATATTCTTGTTAATTTTGGTTGCTTATACAACTTGAGTTTCATATGATTTATTAACAATGATGAAAATGACTGATTAGATCTCATAATTTCTCAGGTCAAAGCCTCACAAAAATCTGGTTCAGGACAATATGAGGTCCATGTACCTAAATTATGGTACTACGGCCATATGCTGTTTTTGGAGGACCAAGACATACCAAGAAGGAGCCAGTCGGTTGATTCAATTGTAGACGGCATGCCTTTTGACTATGAGATTGAGGTAAGTAATAATAATAATAAGGTCTAAAGTAACTTATTTATTCCAAATAAACATACTTGCGACCATATGCTGTTCTTGGAGGACCAGGACATACCGAGAAGGAGCCAGTCGGTTGATTCAATTTTAGACGCCATGCCTTTTGGCTATGAGATTGAGGTAAGTAATAATAATAATAAGGTCTAAAGTAACTTAAGAAGGAGCCAGTCGGTTGATTCAATTGTAGACGGCATGCCTTTTGACTATGAGATTGAGGTAAGTAATAATAATAATAAGATCTAAAGTAACTTATTTATTCCAAATAAACATACTTGCTTTATCAGTACACAAAGCACAAAGGGAAACAAAACATCACTTTTCTCAGAGCTAATATTGTTCAAATATTTTGATGATTATTATTGAGTCATCACGTTACTTTACACATGGTTTCATAACTACTCAAAGATTTTTTCTTGTCAATATACTGCCCCCTCACCATTGAAATACTCGCAAAACATTTCCCTTACTAATTTTGCTGCCATGGTTGCGTTTCCAGTGGGTGTGTTTTGCAGCGGTGTTAATGTTGACTCCGTGTCAGTGCAATCATCGCTTTCTTCCTCAAAATATCTGGAGCTTTCTTTGCGAAGGAAATTGTGTAAAACACAACATGTTAGCACTACAAGATCTATCCTCTCCAATTTTAGATTTATGTTTGTGTTAAAGATCCTAAACCGACTTGACATTATGCCGAAAACATTTTCCACAATCCTCCGTGCCCTAGACAAACGATAATTGAAAATTCGCCGTTCCCTGTTTAATGTTTTTTGGCTATATGGTTTCAGAAAATCAGCTCTCAGAGCAAACGCTTCATCGCCTACAAAAACATAGGGCAGCTCAATTAAACTTCCACTGCATGTGTCTTGCCTCGGAATCTTTAGTTCATGGTTGTTTAGTTTTTCAAGGAAAGATGTGCTCCTTATAGCACCACCATCCGATATTCTCCCGTTCGTGCCCGTTTCACACCAAATGAATTCATAATTAGCATTCGCACATGCCATCAATATAGTACTGTGAAAGTGTTTGTAATTCCAAAAATAAGAACCACTTCCAGGTGGTGGTGTAATCCTAATATGCTTGCCATCGATCGCTCCCAGACAATGAGGAAACTGCCATTTTTCTTCAAAACCCCTTGCGATTGTACTCCATTCGCCTTCACTCTCTGGCATGTGAAACATAAAAGTTTATTTTCAGAATTTCGAAGAGAATCCTGCAGATACAGATGACAGCCAAAGCACATCATCCAGTGTTCCCTCGCGACCCTCAACAAGTGGCTTCAAAAGGCCGAAATCTAAAGCGGACCAGGTTTTAGAGAAAATTGCCAAAAGGATGGATGAACGTCGCAATGATTCACAGCAGCAAATTACACAACCGTACGACTCTTTTGGTGACTATGTTGCTGAAAAATTAAGATCAATGCCGCGAGCAATGGTACCTATAAGCCAAAAACTGATCAGTGATGTACTTTTTTATGGAGAGATGGAAAAACTCGACATGTCATCAGGGATTACAATCACTACCAAGGAAACATCCCAAGGAACTGCACGCACAAATGAAAATCCTTGCTAGGAATTCGTTAAACGCACATGCGCAAGATATCGCGGTGTGAAGGCCGAAATCTAAAGCGGACCAGGTTTTAGAGAAAATTGCCAAAAGGATGGATGAACGTCGCAATGATTCACAGCAGCAAATTACACAACCGTACGACTCTTTTGGTGACTATGTTGCTGAAAAATTAAGATCAATGCCGCGAGCAATGGTACCTATAAGCCAAAAACTGATCAGTGATGTACTTTTTTATGGAGAGATGGAAAAACTCGACATGTCATCAGGGATCACAATCACTACCAAGGAAACATCCCAAGGAACTGCACGCACAAATGAAAATCCTTGCTAGGAATTCGTTAAACGCACATGCGCAAGATATCGCGGTGTGACGACCCATCCTAAAAGCAGTCGTTCCGCAACCACTGAACGAACAACAGACAACAGGCTTTCATGTGTTCAAATGGGTACAGCTTTAAGATTACCTCACAATTGCACAGTGATTTAATCTAGAATATTATCGCAACACCCACAGAACACATTAGAGGTTCACACGCTACTCTTAACTGCTTGATGTTTTAAGTCTGTGTGCAGTAGAGTAAAACTCTGACTTATCATACTTCCCACCAATAGCAGCCCTCTAGTCGAGCTGATAAGTAACATTCCCCCCAGCAGGGTTTTTCTCGTCATCTGTGGACAGATGCCAGTAAAACCAATGTCGCTGCTGCTGAAAACGTTTAATTTATTATTCACACAGGCCAAGGAATTAACTCATCAACACATACTACATATGCAAATCTATTAAAGAAAATATTTAAGATTTATGGCACCCCTACAGACAATATCCCTTCAGTCAAACTCTGACAACTATTTAAACAAAAAATTGACATAAATCACAATAAAAGTTTTAAAATCCACAAAACAAGGTCAAATTCTGTATGTCCAACAAACATTGGTTTCAAGAAAACAATGAAATAACTCCTACCAAATGGCAAGCCCATAAAATTTGATAGTTGCCAATTGTTTCACAGTGCAAACAAAATATTTTGAAGACCACATAAAGAAGTCAGTGTGCAATGGGAATAACTGCACTTCAGGCTCTCTCTTCTGCTTCTACTGCTGTATTCATTCTGGCCTATTTCAACCAATATTAATCAGCCCAAAGGGCTTGTTAATAGCATATGTTGTCATGTAGCGTAGAAAAAGTTGATCAGCATTTCAGAGGTCCTTGCTGCCTCCATCATAAGAGTTATGAGTAATAGAGGCAGCAAGGGCCTCAGACACAATGGTAAACTTCTACCACACTACATGGCACAACCACCTAGAAGACAGCCATCCTCTGACTTCCTGCTGTGAAAATATGTTGTCAGCATCAACATTTTTGCAACACAAATTGCAAAATTACACTTTTGTATATTTAATTATAATTAAACACAAAACAACTTAAAAATAAAACTTAAAAACCTACATCTTTATTCATGTATACAGTTCTAGGAAACTACTCACACTCCCAAAACTTGTGAAAAAGTTTCAGCAAGAACATGTACACATACACAGACAATTTCAGAAAAATGAGACAACTGCAGCACTGCCAATACATGATATGATTTTGAGAAAAATCAATCTCATTCTTTTCACATTCAGTAGTTGTTATTCATACCACAACAGACTGTGTATCACATACCTTTGCATCACCTCTGTTCACTTTGAAGATTATATGAAACTTATTTCTCTCATTGAACATCAAAACACACAAGCACATGAGAGTGCCTTTCTACCATTTTCTGAACAAGACAAGTATTTTCAAAACTCTTCCTCTAACTATTCTGATTATTTCAACAAACAGTTTGTTTTTGTTAACTGGAATGTACAATTATAAGGAGTGCCTAGACCCAAGAAGGCTTAAATGAGAAAAATAACAGGTATCTGAACATTGGAATTTTGTTGTACTTGTCTACATAATGTTTAAAATCTCCTACTCATTTGTATCACTCCACTTTCCTTTAAAATTAGTGAAGCTGCAAACCAATAAACATTTGGGGCCAACAAATCAGATCAACAAATTCACAGGGCCTAGAAGACAAGTGATGAAGTGACTGAGAATGAGGAGTGTGAAAAGTGTGGAGTACTTCAGCATGTTTACACAAAGGCCCAACACTACATCATACTAAAATTAAAAAATTTAAAAAAAAAAGAAGGCGGCAGCACATTATGAAGTATTTCAGTTATAACCATAGGTTAGACTTTGTTAAAATGTGAATTTTAACTTGGCAGAAAGTAGAATAAGTGTCTATCATCTTGCAACACAAAAGGAAAAATGTGCCAAGAATGCACTTTCAAACTCCAGCTACTAAAATTAAAAATATGTAAAGATGGCAATACAAAAGCCAAAATGTGAAGTGAGAAAACATATATATGCCACTAATAATTACACATACAAAATCTGTATAGTTCACTATGTTTTTACTTTTTACACTACAGTTGTCTCATTCTGTATATTCCAATTTACAATCCAACCTGAACTAACAATCATATACTGTCACTAGGAACGTTTCTACATAATAAGATGAACTCCTTGGCCATTTCAAGGAGTCTGTGCAATAACAAACACTAGGGACTAGACAGACAACTTTATAGTGTGCTATAATTTCAAAAGTTGAACATGGACAACGTTATAAACAAGTCTATCACGTTAAAAAGGTAAATTGGCATTTAATACAGTTCAGTGTACAATGCCAATGCACACATCAGGTGTATCATTAGCAAAAATATTCCTAATACCTACTGCCCCTGTAGACATGTTTTGATAAAGTAAATATTACTGTTTTGTGTATAAAGAGGACTAATTTAACTTTCTTTAAAATATGTGACCAGCAGCTTAGAAGTACTTTCATTTTGTAGCAAATCATGCTATAAGACTAAACTACACAAAAAATATCAGGAATTATACATTTTATTTGATGTCTTTCTTTAATTTTTTTAGTTTAGCTTCAAAGCATGTTTTGCCCAGTTCTAATTTAAGTATGAAAATAAAACACTTGAATAATTACATAAGGAAAGTCAAACTTTGTTGCACATTCACAAATATATGTGTTTATAAGACACATTATATATAATTACTTCCAAAGGTAACATAACAGATTTACCTCAAATTTTAAATTAGATTATTCTAACCATGTTATTATTTACTTAGGCCAGGTTATTTTATAAAATTTTATAAGTTTACTGTCACTTAGCATGACATGCAGCATTTTTATTGACCTCAACAATATGTATTATCTATTCACCAAAAATAATATGTAATTAAAATACCAAGAAAATAAATGAAATTTATGTGTTGACCAGCAATAATTTCTCAATGGTATGTGACCTGCTTAACTGAATGAGATTGTAAATAAACTTCACCAGAACACTAATGGCAGAGAAAAAATATTTGTTTGGATAAACACAACATAAAACCTAACATGACAGTAGTTTTGTTATAAAGCTGCTGTGAGTTGTATGATCTGAAGCTTTTATGGTGATGAAGTATAATGAATCTTTTTTTAGGCCTGAGAAGAACATTAAACTGCTGTGAATTATTCAACTTGAGAGCTTTTTCAGTTTACTGATATTCCAAATCTATGTAAGTATGACATAACCATACTCAACAGGATTACAGAATCTGATTAACAAACAACAGAACTTCAATAACATGACAAAAGTTGGCAAGAGACAGGTTGGAAGAAGCAACTAGTATGACAACCTTGCCTTTAAACATTCCTCTCATATTATGTGTTATGACAGTGAACATATGCACAGCCTCTGTGAACCCCAAATGAGGTTAAGGCTCATTCTAGCACCATGACTCTTTAAAAATATTGTCTTATGATTGGACATATAAGGTACTTCTAAACCTGTCAACATTGTTATGGATACAGCCTGGGGCAAAATATCCAGTGTTCATCATTGGCAATGTATGCTGAAAGCTTGTGGATGCCATGATAACACATAAAAAGAGAAAATTCCCTGAGGTTTTCATCAGAATATTTAAGATTTCTTCCCATACACAGTCTAAGGATAGAGTACCTTACAAATAAGTTTCTTCTGTTTTACAATTGGAATCAAGACAAAAATCACATACTTCCAACATTTTTCATTGCATTCAATATGAAATTATTTAATTAAACCTTATACAAAGAATAATGTTCTTTCACTTGACTGAGAATTCTGTAAAGGGTTTATTGTTTTTTTAAATTCTTGGCTGAAACAACAGATTCCTCTATACTGCCAGAGACTCTCTCTAGATCACCAGTGCAGCCCCCATGTATGAACATGCTTGGAATTTCAGTACCATAGTAGACTTTATTGTTCTTAGCTACAGCTTCATATTTCTTCAGTTCTATATATTCTTTAGTAAGAAGCAATCTGTTAGCTTCTGCTTCTTTTTGAGTCTGGTAGAAATCAGCATCTGAACGGCTCTTCTGTCTTGCCAAATGGATTTCATCTGTAGGGGGGTAAAAGTAAAAGAAATTACAAGAATATGCACATAATGCAGGTTATGAGAAACCTATAGCTTAATTAAAAGCAGAAATTACACACAAATAAAAATTATTTCAAATCAAACCTTATCTTCATACAAAGTACTGAAAATAAATGAACAGCTGTGGGATGATGGACTGAGAAGAGAGAAAATGTAGAAGCACTATCTGAGTTGGTTATTTAACATGATTCATATCTTAGGTTATTACTCAGGCTAGCACAAAGTGGACTACATACATAATAAACTACATGGAGCGGAGTCCTAGAAGAGTTAACCCTCATTCTACAGAATCAAAGCTCATTACACATTCACTACAACCTGTCACTGGGCCCTATTCTAAGTCATATTAGCATTTAAATTTTTCATCTAGTTAGTATGGCAAAAACGTTCCACCAATCCCAAATATAAGGAGTGATTAACTAAAACAAAAACAGTATATACACATTTACCTTCAATTTGTGACATCCTTTGCAAAGATTCCTTTTCCATAATCTTTTGGTCAAACTGAATCTTTGCTACCAGTGCTTCTTTCTCTGCCTCTATAACTGCTTTCTTACGTTCTGTTTCTGCATCTTTTTCAACCACCTTCTGGTGCTGAATAGAAATCAACAGCTTTGTTTTCTCACCTTCCCTGCATACATAATACATACATGAATGACATTTTAATTACTTGTGGACTAAAGCTGAATTTCAACCTACTTTATTTGTCAAATATGAGAATAAGATAAGTGGAACATGTAGCTAAGGAAACTTCATTCCAAATAATTCAAGGGAGCACCAGACCTAGATGGGATAGACAATATCAATAAGAAATCATGGGATATTTCAATGTCAGTCCATTAAAATGCATAATCAAACATGGAATACAAATCATATTTGCTAGCAAAGGTATACTATAGTGTATTTAACAGGAATTACAATTACAACTCACATTAATTCATAATTCTTCCTTATGGTCTCTGGAATCTTTGGTTTTGTAACCCTAACAGCCTGAATATACAGCCCAGGAGCCATTTCATTCAAGTCACGTTGCAGTGCAGTTTTCAGGTTCTCATCAATTTGATCAAATAAATCTATGTAAACCTGAAACAAATATAGTTTTATCAATAGTGTGCAAGAGAAACAGATCCAATTTTAAAAACGTGGCAATATGTTTGCCAACAATTTCCTTTTATACAATAGTTATACAGTATTTATTAAAAGTACTAAAATGATAATATCTAAACATAAAGCATAAACATGATAATATTTATGCCAATTAATTGATTTCAAGAGGAAACTTCACCAATTAAACTGTATGTTAAAAACAGAATAACTAAACTGAAAGATCACAATATATACTGACTATACATGTATAGTCATTGATGAAAGTATAATGCTTCTCCATATCTTCCTAGAGGTAAAAATAATCAGTAGCAACTCCATCTTTTTATGCAGTTCACAAATCATTCAATCCACAGAAAATTGGGCAGTTAATTTTATTGTCAAGAGCTATACCTACACCAAAGTTTGCTTAATTTTTATGGAAAATACAACTTACAACAAATCAATAGTTTACCTCTTGCAAGTTGTGAGAACTGCAAAACTGGTTAAGCTCATGGTGAACTTTGTTGAAAATTAAAGTTCTGTCATAATCTGCAGTGTAGTTCTTAACAATATCAAACACTGTAACAGAAAATAATCTTCACTTAATCTTACATCCAATATTCAATTGCTGTTGGGTAAAAATTTCCATACGAAGTACCGTCTACATACTTAAACAAAGAACATTACACTGTTCAAATACAATCTGCAGATAACTACCTTTCACATGTTAGTCAGGAAATTTTATTCCTTCCACCCTCATTACAACTAATTTCTATGAGATCCTAGGAATTTTAATCCCACACACTTAAGAAAAACATAATTTTCAATTCAAGTCATATTCCAATCAGTGACCAGTCCTAAGAGTTCTTTAATTATCACAGAATGTAACAACACACCTATGCAAATATTACCATTTTAATATGTACATACATACCACTGTTTGGACTAAGAATATTGACAACTTCAATGCGATCGAAGTAAATCATAACTCCTCCACTTGTTCCACAGGGTACATTTTTTACTTCATCAGTCTGAAGTGTGACCTAGAGTAACAAAAACATTTTTCTGCCAGTTAATTTAAATTTTCTGGACTGGATTTATCTGGTTCAGTACAGCAGCCAGTAGCTTTGGATACAGTCCTGCATCTTTTTGTTCCATGAAAGGCAGGGAGTTTTTCTGCCAGATAAAAAACTATTAGCTTCTCAAAAGAACTCCTCTGTGAAGTTAGTGTCCATTACAGATAAGTTCCAGAATTTCATGACTTCTTAACTTACTTGTACTGATTTGTGACTTGTGATGAATGGAATCATCATATGGTATCCAGGATGACTTATATTCTGTAGCAATGCTCCTCCCTGTTTAAAAAAATGTCATTACCTTCTTGCACTTATAAGAATAACGACACATAAGTAAAGATAAACTATGATAAAAAGCACAATTATTAGTGTTTAAAGAATAACAAGGCAATGTAGGAAAAATATACGAACTCTGTAATATACTCCAACATGGCCTTCATCTATACTGTGGAAGGAAAATATAAGATTCATTCCCAAGAAAATAGCAATCCCAGCAACAATAAACGATACATCTGCCATTATTCAAGCTGAAACGGGAAAGGAAAAACCATTTCAATATGAATACAGTAATACAACATGAATGACACTGGAAGGAATGTATATTGAAAAAATCAACCGGAATGCTTCACCATTAATTTATTTGCATCACTATATTCATGTCTTGTGTTCTCAAGGGCCAAAGAATTAAGTATCATAAACATATAATCTCGATTACTTTCTAAATAATAATGTAATGAATATACAATTAGCTTAATGACTTTTCGTTTACATTTTCGAATAGCCTGTGATTCAGCCAACACACGAAAGCTACTTTGAACATACCAACAAAATGAAGTTATATCTTATACTTAAAATATAATTTGTGGATGTCATATAACAATGAAACAGATTGAAAACCGTTACGAAGTGTATTTTTAAGACACAGAGTTAACAGCTGCCCACATGCATAGCGCCATAACCACTCGTACCATCTAGCCAGGGTAACCAATTACGAAATTCCCCACATTTCCTCTGAAAATCAGCTGAACATTTTTAACGTAGGCTGATTTCTGGGATGTAAACGCCATTTAGTCTGGTAGAAGTTTACCGACGTTTCACAGGTACTTGCTGTCCCTACCATTACGACGATGGCTTATGACTTATCACCCTGATGATGGAGGCAGCAAGTAACTTTGAAACGTCGGTTAACTATCAGACTATACGATGCTACCACCCAGAAGATAGCCATCTTCACACTCACTGCCGTGAGATTCGAAAGTCCTAAACAATGGGTACATTTAAGTCTTCTGACGTTGAAGCCAAATACGTATTTGCCTGCAAATGCTCATAAAATAACCCCCTTCCAGTGAAGTCAACTATTTCCTGGTCATTCCAAATGTCTGATCATTCGTTTAAGCTTTATCAACTGCACTGGTTATGTAACGTCGATGATAAACCGATTCACAAATGATGTACATGAAAGGCTGTACATGACATTTAGTGGCTTGTTTTTAGGTATTATGTCATCCTAAAACAGCTAAGGAAAAACACGTAAAACCTGTCACAATAGCTGACCTCCAGGCCGATCTCTGATCCTGGGACCACTAAATAATAAGCAGAAATACTAATCACGTCCACATCGCTCAGATGGACGTCCTCATCTATCTGAAACTTTGCACCAACAAAATTCAAAATCATTTCCACAATCTAGCCATGACGTAATAAAAGAAATTTAATGGCTGGACATCATCTCCGAGTTTTATAAAGTTGCTTCTGAATTACGACGTCTTTTGGTACTCTAAACCTATCTTCATATTCCTTTATCCTTAAGCTTATGACCACAAACGGTTTCAGGACTTTAACAACTTTAAAAATAAGTGGTACTTACGTACCACCTTCTTTAATAATTAGTAACTATGTGCTGTTCGTGAGAACATATAATGCAGCAGTGATAAACTTCAAAATAAACAGTGTTCGTCTATTTACCACGTGCTTTGTTGTTAAAAAACAAAAATAAACATTTTCAGAAGATTCTGTATATTACTAATAAGAAAACTTGAAGTATTAATGTTGTGTTAACTGTGGAATGTAATTTTAATCTTTAATTAAGGAATATACAGCAGCCTAGTCATATCGTCATTTTGGCATGGATGTTTGGCATCAGTTGTGGGAATGTTTATGAAATGTCATGTCATGTCATAAGAAAATAAAAATCGAAATAAATATGGATGGCAGAGACTTTCTTTCCACATATGAATATAAGTTGATGTTGTTGAAAAGAGAATGAAATCGAAGAAGAGTAGCTGATGCCAAGCCTGGAATCGGTGCTGATGACATAAAAGTGCCTAAATGGTTTTCTTATCAAAGGTTCACATGTTTCGTTGGAATCAACAAGCCAAGGGAAAAATATATCGAAGGGAATTAAAATGCCCCCAATCTTACAAAGTTTCAAAACCCATTTCGGTCTTCCATGCTATGGTCTACAGTTAAGTTTGTCCTCGAAGGATTCAGAGCGAGGTCGTCATCCACCATCTTAGCTTACGTTTCTTTCTTCTTGATTAACCACTCATTATAACAAAAGATTCGCTGAAGATAACTAATTAAGTCTTCAACAGTACTCTACGTCATGGCGAAAAATTACAGCTACAACAGGCTACATGTTTGTGAGTAGATGCTTTGGTGTAGACATCGAGTGTTTGTCAACACTGTTCGCAGACAATGTTCAGAAAGATCGTCGTCATGGTCTGCACTGATGAAGTTAATTTTATAAGACACTTTAATATTCTTAGTTTTGTAAGATTTTAGAGGGAAATTTTCTCCGTAAAGTAACTACCTAACTAGATGGCTTAACAGAACCCGAAAGTTCATCACCGAATTAACCAAAGCCCTCCACCGGACCCTGTCCAGGCCAACAAAATCCAGTCTCCTACGTAGAGTAACTTAAGACAAAAGTATTTAGTAATGATAAAATTAGATGCTTTTACCAACACCGAGAAAAGAAAAGTATCTCTATGGTTTGTGGCTTCCTCCAAATAATGAATGCTTTGTGTACTGCTGTTTAACGTTTTTAATTACACAGCAGAACTGTGACAGTAACAAATTCCCTGCGATCGTAAAAATACTGTTATAGCGAGTTCAATGGAGAAGTGAGATTCAGTAACCTTGAATGCGAGATATTTTTCTGTGTATGTATATTTGTGAATAGATTAGTGGATTTTCTCATTGTTTGGTAGAACAACACACAGCGTTTAAATCAAACACACATGCCGTATAATTGCTAAAAACTGAGGATAAATTTATGAGTAGATTTAAATAATGAATGGAGATTTCTTTCAAAGCTCCAAGAATGTTCATAAAATTCACTCATTTGTAGAGGGTAACATCGTAAATGTGTTAGTCATATAGACCTATTCCGCACAGGACAGGCATACCTCAGAAATATTTTTCTGGGGGTCTAGCAGTTTTTCTTGATACGTGCAACGGACATGAAAAGTACGTAATTGTATTCTACACTGCCTATTTCCTTGCTTCTAGTTTATACAAATGGTCAAGGCTGGTACTCACCTACAACGCGCAGGCCGCCTGCCTGTAAACAAGTCTTACAGAACCACTGCTCTACCTCCGGAAGTAGCCTGAATTTTTTTTCCAAGTGTTCGATAGCTATTGCGAGGTCGGAATTCGATTATATTTCCGACAATACCACTAAGGGATAAACAGAATTTGCAATATATGAGTGGCTTAATAGAAATTCTTACATGGGACAGAGCTTTTTTTTAAAATATACCAGCTTAAAATAAAATCCAAAAAATTAATATATAAATATTGTAGAAAAACAGTCTCGAGTTAGGAAAATTTCTCAACCAATGAAGGTTTGTACAAATTCACAGATGAAACAGCGTGCCTCAAACAATAAGACGTGAATTGTTATGTAATTTTCAATAGCTGGTCTACAAGTTCGGTCATGCGGAAATGAATTTTTTATTTCTTCTCTTGTTACAGGTTTTTCCATTTTCTCCTCTTGAACCAATGGTGAACGCAGCCACTCAAGACTAAGTTTCAGATTGTAGCACTTTCCTTATATTATTAATAAAGAATTGAATTTCCAACCTCATGAATCTTAATGTCAGCAAAACCAGTTATTTGTTTTGCTGGGAAAATGAACAAGATTGCTTTTGAGGAAAAACTTTCTCGATTACTATTAAACATTTGAGAGTTTTCCTTAATTCTAGATTTGTTTTCCCTTAACATGGGGTCTTAGTCATGCTATAAGCTTTTCCTTTCCACCTTTTTACAGTCTTCTGGTGATTAGCCAAACGAGCTTAATAAGACACAGACATTGGTATAACAGATTCTGTAATTGGTATTAATACAAACATTTTCAAATAAAAAGATGTGGGTTCACAACTTAATTTTCAGTTTTTGTTAGATTACATCTTTTAAAATGTATAATAATGTTATTCTTTCATCAGCAGTAAAATCTTTAGGATAAAGGTTTCCATGCTGTACCTTAACCTGGACATCCTACATTACATTTTACAAATAATATCAGTCAAGTTCATAAAATACCTGTTCATGCACAGTTTGCAGTAATAAAAAGCACAGAATATAAACAGGGAAGTGTATTTTTCAACAAAAGAAAACAATACAAAACAACAAACTCATAAATAATTTTAAAAGCAAATATAGTCAGTGACGTATAATTGTTTAATGCCCCTTGTGAACAGGGAAATCAGCATACCACCCAAAAGCACCATGGTGGCCGGTGTGAGCCCCATAGTCTACGTAGTCATGGCCATCACCACCCCCTCCATGTGCCCCACGCTGGAAGCGCCCGCTTTCCTCAGCATCATTTTCTGCTTCACGTGGCTGGAAACCTGCTTGACGGGCAACTCTGATTAGGGGTGCCGAGAAGTCTGCCACTTCAACAAATTGAACGTCATCCAGGGGAATAGCAATGAAGCGGGGGCGTGCATTTACAATGGCACAAAGTGCCACACACACAACACTGAGGATTAGCTGTAACAAATTAATTAAAGCACGTATTTTAAAATACTCAAATAAAGTTTGTGCTTTTGTTTATCTCAACTTCCTGCATCAACGACCCGAGTTAATATGACTGAGTGTAACATTTCTGAAGAAAGAGAGGGAAAAAAGTTGTCAGTGGAACCACGGTTCCGGAGAATTTGACGTAAATACGTCTATACGGAAAGGAAGTTTATATATTGGCTTTATTCTAAATATTTCCTTTATAC